CTCAAATCTTATAGCTGTCGTTCTAATCCGAACTTGTAACAGATAAACTTATTTTTACAAACGCATTTAAATGTATTAGTAAGGAGAAACTCTTCTTCGTATTTGTTGTCTTCAAGTGTGTGTATCATTTCTTTTAGCTTAATAAGGAAGGTACTATTTAATGTGCATCTGTAAGCAATTCTAAGTGTTTCAGTATAGATGACAGATGCTTTATTACTTTTGAGATATTAGTATCGTAATGAGGGAATCTGTTTACTTTGAAATAAAATCGTCTGTTCTGTTGTAAAGCTTAGTGAGGATGTGATTATTAACAACCGAGATAGGTAAGTCCAAATAATCACTTTTAGTTATAGAATAATGAGTTTTTTTCCATTCTAATTCACCTTTATAAACTGCCTTAATACTTTCTCAATTCCTTTATCATTCTTGATTATGTATAATAAGTAAATCATCCATATATCTGTAAGGGATGAAATAATTTGTTTTTATCTAATCGAATGTTCTTTGCAAAATTGTATTCTGAGAAGGAGAGAGTGAGGTCAGCCAATAAAGGGCTGAAAATCCCTCCTTGGGGAACTCCTTTATTTTGCGAAGAAACTATTACTAAAAACACAGAAACTGTTCTTAACAAGTACTCAATAAGATACAATAAATCATTAATACTGTAGTGCCTATAGTAATTTTCACATTCTCGCCCATCTGTATAATATATTCTGTATCCATTAGTGGCTACCATTTCTTTGAAAGTGAATAAGGAGCGGATAATAGAGGAACTGTCTTCAATAACAATGAAAATACAAATGTCCTTGTTCTGCAATATGCAGAAGTCTGAGAGGCAGACAGCGAAGCAAGAGATGATCTGAGTCGCAGAGAGGGAAGAGATCTCTTCGTTGAATAAGTACAGCTGATCAACCAATACGACACAGAGAATATATATTGAACGGGTAGGCATGTAGGGTTCGACCGGGCAGATCGAGATCATGGGCCTGCGCCTTTAGTGAAGTATTTCTACATGCTGGGCTGTCGCAACCTCTACAGTTGCGTACCTAGCATCTCTACCCACAAGAGGGACCTCATCAGTTGGGCTGAGCCCGACCTTTGCCCCAAAGTGTTCCGAGCTTATGCATCCGTGATTGCAGCAATTATTTAAAGTGGCCCTACTTGTTCTCGACTTCAATTTGAAATGCTGCCACCACACTATTCACGGTCCATGCATTGGTCCATCGTAATGCTCTTTGGGTCAGCACCAGAGCGAGCTATTCTTCTTGCTCCAGAGGCGATCCTTGTTGCAAGCGTACGATGCCTCCCTGATTCGATTCTTCTCGCCTTTCCTCCACTTCAGCTTCTTTCGTGCTCACTCTCCAAAGATGTTCTTTCCATGAAGAGGCAGCGATCATTCAGCAATCCGCGCCTTTTCTCCAAAGCAGTTTTTCATCGCCTACTGCCTCCACCCTTTACATGTTGTTCAGAAGTGTTTCCTGATGTTGATCTGCCCGGGAAGTACGACTCATTTACCGACTTGCTCCCTACCATTCGCGGTTTCTGAAAAAGGGAATGAACCGCAAAGAATAGGCCTTAACTCTCCTCACTACACCAGCTATTCTATGTGTTTGCCTGTTTGCAGGTCTGCTGGTTTGGGAGTGTGTTTCTCTGTCACAAAATTCGCTATTACCTGGTGTACAATTTAGAAAGGACGGAACAAGTACGGAACGAATGGGGCGTGATCCAATATGTCGCCACACTTCAGCATAGCGAACCCATTCTCTCAAGGGTGGGACTTGCATCGAAAGGCGCGGGTCCAAGGACGAAAATTTTGTTTCGATATAGGAAAGCCCAGGGTCCGGAAGAAAAGAAGTAAGAGTGTATGCAGTGCTGCAAGGTAATACCTGCGAAACTAATTATAGCGGGCGCTGTTTATTCAGAAATTACACCCATAAAAGCTACAATGCAAAAAATGATGCTGGGTGATATTTGAAGTCAATAAACCATAAGGCGAGTTGAGTGCAGGCCCGGTCGTAATGGGCGAAACGTATCAGAGTGAGCAGGATTTCCAAGAATGGATCCGAGGTCCCTAGACCACGAACAAAGTGACTACAAGCTGTCAAACCATGAACTGCTAATTGTGGGCATGGCGTGGTCAAAATGGGCGGGATCTTCCACCAAACTAGTTAATCTTCCATGACGGCTCTGCGACCGGGAAAAGTGGACCAATACTGGATAAATAAGAGAATTCGAAAGCAAATGGTGGGAGGAGAGTGGTCAAAATAGGCGGAGTTTTCCGCCGATGTTGTAGTTCTAAGTGTTCTCCTAGCTTTACTGACTCAAAAGTTCAGAGCCATGTTTCAATCAAGTTTAGGGAGCAGAAAAATTGATGTGCGATAATAATACATAACGCAATCCTGCTTTAAGTAAGAGGGAACCCACATATTATAGGGCTTAGTGTACTTGAAAGTAGGGGGATTCCCATGAATCTTCATATTTGAAGGACGATTGGCCAAGTCCGGGGTATTAGTGGCTAAATTATTGAAAGACAAGCATTTTGTACTTTTTTATTAGGAATAAAAATGTATGCATTTACAGACGATCTTACAACCTAGTATACTATGCGTGTCGCATCTACGTAGCCGGACCCAGCGAACTACACAGAATGCGGACAAAGAACTCTGTGAATCTGAGTGATACCGTAACACAACTCGTTTCTAACAACATACAAACTATTGCAAATACTCTGAATAAGTATTGTGATCACGAAAATTCACAAAACAAATGTAACAGCACCTCGCTTTTCCAGAATGTCAATTGGATAGAGATATGACCTGTAGCGTGAACTAGAGCATCATAGATTAGAAGAGCGCCGTCTAGTATAAAAGCAGCGGCGTTGACACGTTAACGACAATGACAATAAATAGCTGTTAGTTAGGTTAATCTAATAACTATTTTTTATAAGTACTGCTCACAAATAGATCAATTTGGTGGTATGTGTGCGGAATGGATTTCATCTATCGATGACCTTTGTGAGTCATCCGAGCTGTAACGATGCCTCCTGGTCCTGCTAATGTCGTCTTACCCATGAGGTATTCATCGACCTGAAATCATAAAGTTACAACTTCAAACTCAATACAGATATGAAATCATGCCATTCCAACGTTCTGCTCAGCCAAATTCATTTCTAAAAAAAGGGCGCCTTAGCCATTTCCTTCGATTTTGTTGAAGAGGAACAAGGGACGACTAGGGAAGTTAAAACCACGATATAATCCCGTACCCTTCTTGGGACCATCGCTCTCCTGAACACTTGACGAGAAGCGCGCCGCGTTCATACCGTCTTCTCCCCCTTCCCCGTTGCCATGCGCAAGATAATTTTTTTGCCATCAATAATCAAGAATAAAGAATGTGTGACAAATAGGTGAAAGGAAAAGTGGAATGTTTTTGTCATCAATAATCAAGAATAAAGAATGTGTGACAAATAGGTGAAAGGAGGTTGCGGTTGATCAATATTTGGCGT